GTTCTCACCTACATCGTCCATATAGGACGACTCGGGAACTCAACTCCTACCCCGGGCAGCTCACCTATCCCCTTATGCCCAGGGGAAAGGTATCAAGCCGTTTGACAGCTGATGCTAGCTGTCAAACCGGCTTTTACGCGAAACAGGCGGGAGGCAGCAAACAGCTGCGACCGACGAAGGCGCCTGCCACCGGAAGTCCCTCAAGTGAGTTACTTTCTTGTATATATTCACTTTATACACCTAGTTCAGAACTCTTTTAAACCTCATACCCATTAAAGTATGCCTCTTCTCTACTGCAGCTCAGAGATACAACTTCAGAAGAGTAAAAAATAGTCTCAGCAAGATTTAATGATCTCCACTAAACTTCACTAAACCCTGTCTTGCAAACATGTATAAAGTTGCACTGTGTATTTGAATAATTTTTCTTTTGTTGTGCTTTAATGGTTAATGTGTTACAGTAGGACTCAGGAGACCCAAGTTCAAGTTCATCCTCGACCATGGAAACTGATTGAGTGGTTTTGGATCAGTCACGCTTTCTCAGCCTACTTATCTCAAAGAGTTGTAGTGGGGAAGATCGGAGGAGGGAATTTTGTGAATAGTAACTTGAGCTCCTAGAGGACAATTGGGGGTTTAATCTAATTATATGAATGCATGCATAATGCACTTGTAACTTCAGCAAAATGACTGCTGCAAATGACAGAGAAATGGGGAAAATGCAGTGTTAAAAATATGTCAGTTCTGTGATTCTGTACTAGGGCTCAAGAAATGGCCCAGGACATCCAACAATAAACTTACTTTTAACGTTTAGTATCTTTTTTAAAAAAATAGAACTTTAATAAGGCTCTGCAATGTCTTTGAAAAAGTTGCTTCTCAAGATGTAGGAAGCATGTCTTTCACATTGGCTATTCCTGGCAGTCCTCCTACATATGGAGGTATCCACAGCCACTTCACTTTTCCCCCAGCAAAGCACTGTAAAGAACTCTTTTGACCTGCCCTAATTTTTAACAGGTTGAATGGATTGAACTTTAATAGTTGAACTGAAGTTAATATTGTTACTATATACTATGGAAATGCTTTACAAAGCACAAAATGATGGATTTAAGATTTTTGTAGCAACACCAAAATAAGAGTGGCCCATTATTTTTGTCATGAACTTTGATAGCCACTAATTTTCATGTAAATTACTTTGGTTGTCATATGTAAGCTGTATGTACATCTGTGCCTCAGTAACTCTGAGCCACAGATGTGTATGTATAATATCAGAGTTATTTTTTATATATAAAATTTTTTATTATTTTGAATTAAACAACAAATACAAATGATGCATCTACAAACACCACAAAAGAAAAAAGATTTTTACTCAAAATATTTCCGAATACTCCCGGCAGTCCCCGCCTTGCCTCCACTCTTATCCACTTTCCCTCTCTTTCCTCCCCCTAACCCCACAGCCTCTCCTCTTTCCTCCTACCACTCTACATCCCTTTTGCCTTCTAACCACCACGTCGAGTGCAATTTGGGGAACCTGCCGGGGATATCCTCTTATTATTACAATTCCATTATATACTTATAATTATTTACTACATCAATTTATAATTTCCCCTTAAACCCCTCCCCTCCCCGACTTCCCAGAACTAAAACAGGATTCAACACCTCATAAAGCAATCAGTTTAAAAAAAAAACTTTAACTCAAATAATTAAAAAACAAAAAACAAAAATTAAACTCCATTTTA